GTAGGGAAATAGTCTTTGATTCACTAAGATGTGTGAGCCTTATGCAAATTAGAAAAAAAAAATTAATTGCTTTAAGGGGTTAATCAGCATGTACCATAGTAGAGGCTGGTTTTTGGAGTTAAATTCTGTAATGCTTCCTGATCTTCGAAAGAACTGGAGTGGGGAGGAATAGAAGGAACTGGAAAATGGGAAATGTTCCTAAGTGAAGGAAAACAATGTTAAGTACAAGGTTTGAGAGGAAAGAAGCAGAAGCTGACCATTACTGAAGTATTTTTAGTGTGACTTGATTGGTGTGCTGGTGGAGTTGGCAGCTCAAGGCTCTTTCATCATGACTTTTTTCTTGAATGATTAAAAGAAGTCGTGTTTTGGATTAAAGTAGCACAGAAACTTTTTCTTCCCCTGAAGAATAAGAATGAGATACTAACTTTTTTTCCCTAAATTAACTCACAGTTAAACATTCTCAAGTCTCTCTCCCTCTCCCTGGAAGCCTTCGTACAAATCAGAATAATACCTTGTAAAGGAAATTTGATGGAGTAGCATTTCTTAATATCTAGTCTTTCCATACTACTGAAATACTGGCAGGTAGGATGTGTACTTTGAAGAGCAGTGATGGCCCTTACATTCCTCAACCAGGCACACCTAATAAAAGCCTAGCAGACTGCATCCTACAGCGCAGGTAAGAACCCTGTGGAAGTCTCAATGGACAGGGGGAATAAGACAGTTGGTTTCCTCATTGTCTCAAATTTATCACCTTAAGTAGTCTAAAATGGTCTAAATGGGCATAATGTTGCTATGAGCTAGCTATCTCAAGATAATAAGCTGAGTGATACAATGGAAAGCTTGATGCTATCAGGAAAGTTACTGGTACCTAAAGAAATAAAACACACACTCTCTGCTGTGATAGAATTGTAGCTGAGATGCATCTCCTGCACCTTTGCAAATTATTAAAATGGGATTACTTTTGAGTACACAGAGGAAGTCTACATGTGATGGCTATAATGGCACACAACTTGTGAGCCGATTCCAACGCCCTAAACCAGGAAGGCAGCCATCACACCCCTGCTGCATCTTTACAGTGGCAGACACTCTTCATCTTGTCCAAAGTTTTAATATTGTTGTAAAATAAAGAGGGGGAGAAGGTAGCTCTGCTCTCATGTATTATCCTGAAGTCTTGAAAGCTACTTATTCTCTTCTTCTCATGGCCAATTCAACCTAATTGTGCACACGACATAGGAGCACTAATTTCCCAAATATGTGAGTGTTCTCACTACACACAGTGGAAGTGCATACATGCTTTCATCTGAGCATGTTGAAATGCTTCCTTAAGACAGAAAACTTGGCATTTGGCTATGTGTTCTTACTACAGGACCAGGATTTTAAAATGTAAGGCAGAAGCTCCCAAGAGTACATAGTCATAGTGTAAATTCATGAGAGGTGCGAACACAGGAAGAGACCTGTGTAAGATGGCAGCAACCTTTTTTTTCTTCCTTGGAAACAGCTGAGTAGCCCCTTGCACGACATGACTTGTTGACAGTGCAGTTGACTTCCTAATACAGCCTGTGTGTCTTTTGCATGGAAGATATAGATGGTTCAGAGTTTGTACTGAATGTTACGTGACTGAAATAGTTACATTAAAAACTTACCTTCTTCCATATACTAACGTGCTATGCCAAGAAATATTCCTACCAAACATAGTTTCGGTTGGTTTAATTATAGTTCACATTTTCCTAAAGACAGCTTGCTTAAAATTTCTGCTTTGTAGCAGCAAAAATTAAAGTAGCACTGCTGTTGGGTCAGTGTCTCAGAGTAGAGCTTTTGATTTTTTTAAGTGTAGACCTGAAAAACTAGATATTATGTGGTTTTGCTAAGCTCATCTATTCTCCATGGGTAAATTTGAGCCAGATCTAACTTTTTGTTGCATTAGCAAGTCTTACGTCAGATATGAATTCTTAATGTATTCAATTTCTTTGTTTATTGCAACAGTAAGAACTGTAAGTGTTCTTACATGACTCTTTAACTACCGTGTTGTGGCATGGACATTGTTTGCCATTAAGTCACTTGATTAATATCAGCTGGATAGGAATGATGGAACTTAATGGAATTAGAGTATTATTTTTATATACTGTTTTTTTATAAGATATGTGCAGTATTATGTAAATATTCCTTCAGAGTACATTGTGTTCTAATTGCTTCCATATAGTCAGGAAAAATTAATTCCAAGGCTTGGTTATTTATCATTAGATGATTTTTTTTTTTTTATGCGGTGCATACCAAATTATTTGGTACTTTGAAGGTTTTTCTAAAGTGTGAATACATGAGTGACAGCCACGCTGCCAGGGCAGGCTCTAGTGTGCCTTGACTTCAGTCTGAACTTTAGGGAAAAAAATTGTATGCAGTGGCAGACAAACCATGGCATGAACCAGAAATGTACCACGCGCTTTCACTTATCTAAGGTAATGCAGCCCTCAACTTCCAGATTGGAAACAGCCTTTTCCAAGAGAAGTTTCATGTTCATTTTAGGTGAAACATTCTTTGCCAAACAGGGCTTAAGTTCTAATTCAAGTAAAATCAAGAGGAGTTTCCTTAAGGCATCAGTGTCTGTTAGTTGTCTATGAAATTTGAAGATATTTCTGATTTTTACTAATTTTCTACTGACGGAGACAGCTTGATTGTAACTACTAGGCCTTTTCTTTCCCAGCAGGTTTTCTGGTACTGTTTCCTCTTGAAAGTATATAAGCAGAAAATTAATTCATTTGGGAGTGAAACAATATTTAGGTAAACTGGTACTCTTCTTAATGTTTTTTCAAAGTCAAATTTTAAGATTGCTTATTGCATGAATGGATTTGGACAAGACAAACGAACAAAAATGAACTCAAGCAGGAAAGAAACGGGAGTTTCAAAGTAGGCTAGAGAATGTTCCCTGTGGCAAAACTGGGCACTGAAGTCCATATCCAACTTTAACATCTTTCCCCCTTTTTTGTTATATAGAGACTTCAGAGGAAAGGCTATGCAAATGCCCAGTTACTTGTACACTGCTTAGTGGTCTAAAGACCCAAATAGGAACTGTTCCACATATAAGATTTTTCCAGACCAGGCCCTTCTAGTTACTCATCACTATCTTTTTTTTCACAAGTCATGGCCACATCACTTTTACTCTCCAGCCTGTTCTGTTCTCCTCTTGCTAGCAAAAGGCTAAGCTGCCTTCACCATCAGGCCCTAAAGACTTAACAACCCTGAAGGTCTTCTGGGACACCACCCATTGCCACCTCCAGCAGCCTTCTGTCTTAGCTTCCAGTTTCTTCTGTCAGCTTTCCACTGGGCAGTAACACTTTGACACAACAACAGCTTTTGTGGTGCACCCACATTTTAGACCAACACAATGTAGGCTGGATACAATGCCACACGAAATCACAGTGCCAACAACAGTATGCAGTCTTTAAAGCGGCGTTTTACAGGCACAGAGGGAAAGGAGGTCACCAGTGACGTTTGCCATGCTGATGACTACAAACAAAAGTTTTCTGTGGGATTGTTTAGGTCCAGTTTGCCATACAAAGCATAAGGTTGAGGTTAAATTGTAAAACTGTAGGATGTCTATTTCTTCTAGCATTCTGTCACATTCAGCAGTTCATTAATCTCATTCACCTCTGGACTTTGGAATGGAATGAGATAAGAAATGCAAACTTACCCAAATACCGCTGTATAAATCCCTTCTTTCACTCCCAGTGTGATTTCTCCTGTCAAATGCTTCTGTTGCCTGTCCCTCTGACCTTGCTTCAGTATAGCATAGCCTCCAGCCCACCTGTTTGTCCTCCTTTCTTCCGTTCTCTCTGCTTGAGCATTTCATTCTAACAATCCTTTTAAAGTTTCTTTTTTTTCTTATCCTTCTATCCAGCTATGCCATCCTGCCAAGCTGCCCAGAAAAAAAAAAAACAAACCCCAAAACCACTACTTTTTTTTAAGCTAAATTGCCACTAGTAAATTATTCTTATACAGAATTTCCCACCTCTGCTACTGTTTACAGACAAGTGTGTTTAAGTGTGTCTGTGATCTACTTGTGTTTTAAATGAAAATACGATTATGTGGTCAAAATGTTGCAGTGTAATATTGAAACTATGGTGAAAAGCCCTGCTTTGATTTCTGTATGTAGGTAGCAATGTAAGACTATCATCTGTTCACAAGATCAGTTATGCTTGTATATATGTACCTATAGTTTTAATTCATTTGTGCTGGCAAAATTCTTCCTGTCACTGGCATAGTTTATTCCACGCCTGCCTCATATGCATGCTGCTCCAAATGAAATTAGGTCTTCTAGCGACATTGCAGTTTTGCCAAAATAACTGTCCACAATAGGAGCATTTGCCAACTATAGCAATCACAAATGACATCATCTTGGGCCTGTGACTGTCAGTTATTCAGCCAAAGCTAGTACCATAGGTTGGATCTAAAGACTTTTTTTGTTTATTTGTTAGTTTACTTTAAAAAAAAAAAATTACAAATAGCCAAGCAAATAACCCAATAAATTAGTTTTTGTAGTCAAGGGGAAAAAAAAAAATCCAGCAAACTTGGCATAACTGTTTTTCACTATTGGTTTAAAAGTATACCACATAGAGCTGTGCAGAGGGCTAGATATTAAATCATAATAGGATAATGCAGGTACCCAGTGATATGTTGATCCCAGAACAAAACAATTTTGTG